AAATACCAACCATGGAAAGTTGGAGATAAGGTTTGGTTATCGGGGAAGAATCTTATCACGCAGTTACCATCACGAAAACTCGCCCCGAAACAATACGGACCCTTTACCGTGAAAGCCGTACTCTCCCCTATCACATTCACACTCCAACTCCCAGAACAATGGAAGGTTCACCCCACGTTCCATGCTTCCGAGCTATCATCCTATCACGAAACCAAAATCCACGGTCCTAATTTCCCTGATCCTCCACCTGATATCATCGATAACGAAGAAGAATACGAAGTCGAAGCAATCTTATCGCATAAAGGCACGGGTAAATGTAGACGCTATCTCGTATCCTGGAAAGGATACTCTTCCGCCAGTAACGAATGGATTCCCACAGAGAACCTCGGCAACGCTTCCACAATCCTCGCTGCTTATAAGAAAGCTCACCAGTTATAAGAATCTGAACAAAGAAATGTCCTTCTCAGAACTTCACACTCTTCAAATCTGCCTCCTGCAACTCCAAACTCTCGTCAAAACCCTTGATAACATGTCCGCAGGTCTCGCCACTTCCCCATCCACGACATCCGTCACGTTGACCAAAACTATTGAATCCCCAAACTATTTCACCATCCTTGACGATATCAAAACCAATACGCTATTTGAATCCGCCCTCCTTTCTGAACAATACGCTATCGATATAGACCACCTCCTTGCTGAACAAGGGGCCCTCTCTAGCACGCTCCTCATTAATATCATTCGCGCCGCCAATCTTGTCAAACGGAACGCAGGACTTATTAATGACCAACGTCTTGAAACCATTTTCCGTCATCTTCATATTCGCATTTGCAACACTGCAATACGTCTTATGCCTACCTCTACCAAAGAAGTTGTTAGAGAGGCAATCCATATCGTCACTGAATGAATTGCAACAAACCCAATCGCTAGACCACCCTCCCCACATGTCGCAATTCCCATTCCACCTCCGGTTGAGATACCAACTCCTGTTGAGCATACATCTAATATTATCACTCCTCCTACTGTACCGGACATATCGACTGATACTACGTCTGCCCCGGCGGCAACGACTCCCCGTATACGCCCTACCCGTCGACGACCCTCCAAGCGAGAGATCTCCATCTCCCCTACTTCTCGCAACCGCACTTTACGTTCCAAGACACCATCCCTGCCTCCACAATCATCCTCCGTCACCATCGTAAAGACCGAACCCCATGATAACTTTATGTGTCGCAACTGTAACCTTGTCAGTCATCGTCACAAGAACTGCCCCACATATTTCTGCCGCATATGTCGTAATCTCGCACCAGGACACCTTTCCGTCTTTTGCAAAGACCTTAAAGGAGAAAAGCCTATTCCGCTAGTATGGACGGACGAAGGCTTCTATGAGGCCCTCTCTAGATGGGAGGCTGATAAAGACGCTGCTATGGAACAAATCTCGATCGAAGAAGACGAGAGACTGTTCGTTCAATGTGCTGGAGATCATGACAACGATGACGCTTACGATAATTTTGATTGTTGAAATCGGTGATTTCAACGATAGTAACGGGGTAATGTTACAGTCAAGTACGCCCCTATTCATTTTCCTTTTCTTACTTTGTATTACGTCATGATCGCTTCTCTTATCGCCAGTTGTATTACACCACAATCGCTATCATGCCGTCGCTAGGTGATCTATTCTTGTTATCTCTGACTCGCTCTTATCTCTGACTCGCTCTTATCTCTGACTCGCTCTTATCTCTGACTCATTCTGACTCTGTTGTACCGGCCCTAAAGCAGTTACCTTTCACTATATAAACTCGCTTTGTACTATGTAGTTCTTTACTTTAATCTTACTAGGTTTTACCTGGAACTTCCTTCACTTAAGACCTCCAATTTTAAGTCATCAGAAACTCGATTCAAGCCAAGGACACTCTCCTTGTCTTGTCTTAGTGAAACATTGAACTTTGGTATACGCTGAAGCCTTGAACCGACCTTGGCCGATTACTCTTACTGAGTAGCCATACATCAGAACCATCCTAGTTCGTAACACCATGAAGGCCAGTTGTCAGAATTTGTAATATGAGCCCATAACAGCCTGCAGAAATGCGAGTCTCTACACCGACTCTATCACTTCCTGGACCCATTGTTGGAATTTAAACTCTGCAGGAACTCAGATGAGTCTCCAACTAATTATGGTCAGTGCTCATATCTGTTGTCTATATTTTATCGCAATCAATTGTGTATTGGCGCTCCTGGAGGTCGCGGGGGGAAAGTAGCATTCACCGGGATGGATATATCAGAAGGTGTGTGATGGGTTTGTGCCTCCAGAGTCACATTGACCTGGCTTGTGATGTTTCTGCAGATACTTCAACATGATGGTGGGCATACTAACCAGTACCGCAAATGACCTGGAGTCATACATTTCGATCATGAGTTTTGTCGACAAGACAGGATCGAGCCTGGGTGCTCAGTCCTACTAAACCACAAGAACCAGGCGGTAGTTGACGTGCTGGAGGACGATACTGATCCTCTAGTTAGTGTCATGAAGTTAGACAAGGCTCTCAAGGAAAAGGTAGTCTTCCTCTTATTATCAGAGTTATATTGTGACATTTCTCTTCATTAACTCAGGAATCCACCGAACTCCCGCTAACACATCATACTGGTATGCCTCGATCATTGCACTGCCTTCGCTAATAAGCTAATATATTTTTTAAACAAAATGTCATGAAATGATAGGACACATTACCATCTGTTACACACCAAATTTTGAAGTTGTGTCTGCACCTGCACTTTTCTACTTACAACTCCCAGTATGAGTTACCTCTATGAAGCCGATGATTTCGATGCCAATGGTGATTTCATCTCAACCACAGATTGGCTGGATTTGCTTCCTGGGGGTGAAGGTACGCCACCTAACCCATCGGATGATGGTTCTTTTCCAGTCAGCAATGCTGGCAGTAGACAGTTTCCCTCATTTGATAAGGTCAACTGGGATGACCCAAACCTGTACATGATGCCGCTTACCAAGGATGAACTTTTAGCTCTTACTTACGATGTAACAGCCTTGAATGTGCAAACCAACATCCCAACCTATCCAGAGCTCCCCCCTGCTCATACACCATCACCTCAGCCTTCCAGTCCAGAGCTCTAGCTGTCTTAATAACCGAGGGTCTTATATAAATACGTGTAAGAATGTAATGACACCACAATTACACTTGATAAGACTTCTTGCCAGTCCTCGATTAACACGGTCTACGACTTTTCTCTTTTGTGGTAGATAACATGTGAGTTCTTGGGAGGCTCGCTAAACCAATCAGTTAGATTAACTTAGCCAGAGCTTTATTATCTCTGATTGAAACTATGGGATTGTCTAGGATATACCGTCTAGACACTTGAATTGGTTTCCTGAATATACAATAAACTGTTGAGAAGCTGGTCTCAAATGTGACTATGTTGACCAAAGCTCGTGTTGGTCAATATACAAATACCTGGTGAGAACACTGGTCTCACAAATAACAACAAATGACAAATAGAAAACAATGACAAATAACAACAATGACCAAAGCTCGTGTTGGTCAATATACAAATACCTGGTGAGAACGCTGGTCTCACAAATAACAATGATGACCAAAGCTCATGTTGGTTAGTAAACACTACGTGGTGAGAACGCTGGTCTCACAAAACTGGGTTTCTATCGCGAGAAACTTACATAATCTCAAGGGAAACACTTTCCCTGCACTTGTCTGGACAGAACTTACGAAGGAAATGGGCTTTGTAAGCAACAATCTGTTCAGGGTGAAGCTTCTTAGGTGAGAGTTCAATTGGTTCAAGTGGGAGATTCTTGAATGCAACAAGTGGGAGATCTATTTTTTTGGGGGAGAATGGGCTCTCCTTATATACATTTTGTGTGGGAATATTATGTAAGTAAAAAGGTGATGTAATGACTTCAGAATGTGAGAAGAATATCCCAAAAACTGGAGCAGAATGTTCTAGCAGGTGCAAAAGAACATTCCAGAATATTCATGGTGGGATAATGACATTATTCTGAGTCATTCTGAGTCATTATGAGTCATTGGAATGTTCTAGCAAATTCCATGGAACATTCTGGAATTGATGACATCATTATGACATCATACCCTGTAGGTACAATTTTATGAAGCATCTGATTAGTCAGAGCATCCTAATAGAAAAGTAAAGTAAAGAAACACTAGAGAAAACAACTCAGAAATAATGGAACAAATAATAGTACACAATACGCGGGCTTTTTAGATAGGTTTTTGTTAGGCTTTGAACTTTTCTCTATGGGTTTCTCTAGCCAAAGTGAATAAGCCAAAGGAAAGGCAATACCTTAACCTTCAATTTGCTTCTCACATCAACTAGGTCATTATGTGATTCCCATCTCACATATGACTTTTCTTCAAAACATGGTGGATTCATGAATCACTGAGGGAAAACTGAAACTATTGGACCAAGGTTTGATACCAAGGTATGGGTTGACTAGTCTGAGGACTAAGCTAACAGACTTTGTCTTTTAGGGGGATACCTAGTAGTCATGTCCATGCATGATTCCCAAATCATGCAGGACACCGCCTGCTTGTACACCGTCTCCTCAGCACTTTGTAACCTCAAGCCATGATGAAGGCTCACCGGGTAACACTGAAGCAGAGGTGCCTGGACGCCAGTAGGGAGTCACTCCGTGAAGCAAACACGTCCTCCTGGGCAGCATGGAACCCATCGCAAGCCATTATCCACCCTTGAACTGCTACCACCTCGACTAATGGATGCTCAAAAGGCATCTTGAAAAATCAAGAGGGACCAGAAGATCAAGAGAACGAAGCACTTACATGACGCTGTCGCTGAATACCTGGATGGACAGAAGATGAAGATCGAAGCACTGTCACGGGCGCACTACATTACTCCCAAACAAATCAATGACATCACCAGTAATCAGATGCGTTATTGCACCTCACGCAAGAGTCAATTGATCCATGCACTTGTTCATGCCAAGGCAAAAGAGATGAATGTGGGTAAGTCAAATGATTTTTCTACTCAATGCTATCACAAAGCTTACCTTGCGCCAACTAGATCGACCCACAGGCTCTTGATACTCAATGGCCGAACTCCACTGAGATGGTTATGACTGACCCCGAAACTAAGAATCTGACAAAGAAACAGAAGGAAGCCTACATTGCAGCTCTTGAGGAGCATCGTGAAAGAAAAGTCGTTAGTGTTTGGGCAAACAATCAGGCAGCTGCATGAGATGTTGTAGCCACGACGGATAGGATAGTAAAAGAGGTAAGTCTGAATCTTGATGGGAATCAACTGAACTTGATTTTTTTCCCTTGAAGCTAGATGATCTGCAAGTTCGGACTGGTGTCTATGGAACACTATTCGTCGTACGCGGTCACATCAACAACACCATTCAAAGCGCGATGCACAGCATGAATAATTTGGAAGATTTTTGGGAGGATGTGTACGAGCATCCCATGGCTGACTTTCTCAGGCAGTATGAACAATCGGCATGCACCCAAAATCAAAATTGATATTCTATTATGTAATGAGGTATGAGCGGAGGAATAGAATTAGGTCTTTGTGCAAGCGTCGGGAGCAGTACGAACCTTTTGTCTTCGTACTGCGACACTGCATCTTCCCGTCTCAACGATATCGTCTCGTTCCTCCTTTCTTTTCCTCCGTTCATCAACTTCATCAATAGTTTCATCTCACAAGTACCTTTCTGTCAAGAGCTCAGCACCCTATTCCAGCAAACACATTCTGAATTCCCCCGGAATACCATGGATTGCATTGAAGCAGACCCAGCTCTAGAAGCACAACCAAACTTTGAGTCAGCAGCATATCATGGTTGGCTCAATGCCCTAATGGATGGTGGCGCTACCAGAGAAGAGGCTCTAGTGCAGATGGCAGAAGGTTGGGGTCTCAAGTGACACGAGCGTATTGAGGCATGGCAGCAACAGAAGGAAGATGAAGCCCACAAGTTACAGGAGCGCAGGGAATGAGACAGAGCTGAGAAGGAAGCTGAAGAGCAGGAAGAGCGCTGAGGCGATCTCAACCTGGCTGGGCTGATATGAAATATCTAAAAATGCTCAACCAGTATAAGTGAGTCTTGGCTCTGCCTAGCTGCTATACTCGCAGAATGCAAGAACGTTCGACCCTAAAGGGGACTGCTACTGAACACAGAGCCAGATGAATGAAAGACCCTTGTAGTGCAATGGATGCACAAAAGCATGAGAGGAAAAGCGAAGTGAGCGCGAGAGAGCGCACTAAGGTAAGCGCGAGCGTGAGAAGGTGAGCGCTAAGGCGCGTGTTGTGCGGGAGAATACCGGATAAGGAAACAGATGTGCAAAGTGAGTGCAAATGCAGAGCGAGTGTTATAATGAGCACGGATAATAGTCTAGTATAGCTGGATAACGATAATCATTGGAAACACAAAGTGCGCCCAAGTGGTGACTACTACTTTCAAGTAAAACCCAATAGCGAGAGAAGTACAGCAAAGGGGAGTAATAATGATGGAGTAGTAAGTCAGCAAACTTTATACTATGGAAATCACATCGGAAGCGGAAGGGATAGGAGCAGTAAGCGCTATGAATACGTAATGACATTGGAGTGGTGCTCGCCGCTTAGGTGGCCTGAAACCAAGAAGAGATGATGACTGGCTACTACATCTGTGCATTGTGACTAGCTGCTGACAAACACTGCAAACCCCGGCAAACCCCGCACCTCTGTGACCCTCCTCCCTAGGGGTCCCCTACTCCACGTGCCCCCCTCAAAAAACGGAGACGTCCTCGTCGACCATGTCCTCATCCTCTCTAGTCTCTATCATTCTCTCCTGTTTCGTCATCATGGTCTTCGTCTCCCGGATCGTCTTTGTCAACTAGATCTTTGTCATTCTGCAGTTGTTCTTCCTCTATGCTCTCTGCTCTCGTCTTTGCTTGTTCTTCTTGCCTCTTTTGTTCTTCTGCTAGTTTGGTCCCTTCTCTGGGAATGAACATGCACAGTCATCTGGCGTGGAATTCTCTTGGGATAGGACTGCAGTCTAGGTATTCCAACCGGTACAAGTTGCATAGTCGCTCTGTGATTCTACAGGGTATTGACCATTTTGGTAGTAGCTTCCTCTTCGCTTCGAGCGTGTTGTGTATGCCACTGTGATGAAATTGAGTGAGTTGTCCTGGTGAAAATATGACTTCCCTTGGTGATCGCGCGAGTACTCGTTTGTCAAACACCGCTTTCCGCTTGATCACATGCTGTACAATAGCATCATACCCGTCTAACTGTTGTTGTCCTACGTATGCCATGTGCGTGTTGATGTCCGAGTGTCGAATGGCTGATGTGCAGTTAGTTAGGTCTGTGTGAGGTGTATTGATTACTTGGCCTAATAGGAGCTCCTTTGGTGAAAACTTCAACGCTGGGAGTATTCAGTAGTTGAGTGCCATTACTGCCTCGTCAAGGTGCTTCGGCCAGCTGTTTGGCAATGTGTTCCAGGAGATTGCTTCGTAGTCATCTTCACCTAGGTTCGGTGCACAGAGATGCTTGAGTATGTGTAACAGTATTTTGTTAGTATCTTCCACAAGCCCATTAATCCATGGTGAATAGGCTGCTACTACGTGCGTTTTGCAAGTCCATTTCATACAGAAGTCCTCGAACCTCCGAATTGTTAAAGTGCTTACCACCGTCGCTCATGAATGTTTCTGATGCGACGAAGTTCCGAAATATTTGTGAGAGGCTGTTGATCGTTGTCTTCGTGGTACCTGCTGACTTGTATTTGTACACCCAGACGTGCTGTGAGAAAGTGTCCAGATATACACCCAGTGTGCTGTATCCACCGGCTTTCGGTAACATCAAGTAGTCGCCTACAAGTAGTTCAAAGGGGTGTCTGTGTGTGATGGGTTCTAGAAGTGAGTGCAAATGCGGTGTTCCAAAGTTTTTGCACTTAGCGCAGTCCATGATGGCCGACATGATAGATACATCTAATCTTGGGCTGTAGATGCAATCTGTGAGGGCGATTTTGATTGCGTCTCGCCCCCAGTGTCCTCCTTCTTCATGTTGTCGAATTGCGAGTTGCTTTTCTTCTTCTTGCGTGATGCATTCTACCCTTCCTCGCGCTTGTACTGCTGTGCCTCCCCGTAAGCGCCATAACTTCCCGTCTTCGATCATATATTGCAAGGCCCTGTGCTTTGCACATTTCCGATCTCTGAGTGGCCCTGTTGAATTCAGTTGTCCAATCGATTTGATGACTTCACGAAACACTGGTTTGTTGACAAATCGTTCCTGTAAGCTTTTGGTGAGTTGCGATTCATTTGTGGGAGTGCTAAATAGGATATCATTGACTAATCCAGTGTTTGCTTCCCAGTCTTCACTGACGGTCCAGTCGCTACCATCCAATAGCCCGATATCTCTTGGTTGCCCTTCCCATTGTCTGCTTAACCCGTCGGCTATCACATTGAGTTTCCCTGGTACGTGCCTAACGTCGATTATTCAATGTGCGAGGATTCCATCTCTCTAGCATGCATGTGCTACATTCATGTGGTCGTTGAGGAGTACATCTTGTAGTGCCTGGCAGTCAGTTTCTATCTCCACTGGGAAACCCCATACCATGTCCGAAAACTTATCCAATCCGAATTTTAGGGCCGCAAATTCTAATAGGAAAGGTTTGTACTTTTGCTCGGACGCTGATGTACGCTTTGATGCGAATCCTATTGGCAGGAGTCGCTCTACCCATTTGCCCGAGGGTTTCTGAATGTGAGTACGTTGGGACAATACTGCTGCTAGGCCTTCTTGGCATCCATCGGATGTTACCACAGATGGCAATCCGTCATATCGAGGCGCTTGCAATATGGGCTGTGCAACAAGGGCTGCTTTGAGAGTTAGGAAGGCTTTTGTATGTTCCTAGGTCCATCATTCTGCTAACTTGAAGTCACGTAGTGTGCGCCGATACATGTTTTTGGTGTATGGTACTTGGAGTGGCGTTATTTTCACCAAATCCTGTAATGGTCCTTCTCGTTTGGCAGTATCCTTGTACGAGGTCACGGAAGTAACTTGTGAGACCTAAGAATGATTCCAAGTTAAGTGCGTCAGCTGGTTGTACCCAATTCACAATGGCCGTTAATTTTTCTAGGTCTGGCTGGACGCCTTGTGGCCCTACTGTGGCACCCGCAAACGTGGTCTCCGTCATGAATAGTCTGCACTTCGACGGGGAAAGGGACAGTTTCCGTTCTCTGCAACGCTCGAAGACCCGCGTGAGTTTCTCTAGCATTTCGTCGAAGGTGTTTGCTGCACATGCTCCGTTGTCGACGAATAGTTCCATTGTACCATCTGCAATCAAATCATGTAAGTGAGTAGCGGTCATGTCTGCAAATGTGGATGGTGCACCTGTGAGCCCCATTGGCATGTGTTTGTACCAGAACCAGCCTCTTCCCTCAACATAGAATGCCATGTATGGTCTTGATTCCTCCGGTACTTCAATGGTGTAAAACCCTGATGCGAAATCGAAAACCGAAACATATTGATGTCCACTGAGCCGGAGTTGTTTGGCGTGGATGTCTCCTTGTGGCATGGGGGCGATGACTGTATGTCGGTTGACCTTGTTAAAGTTTTGGCATATGCGCCACTTCTGTGGTCTGTCTGGTTGCTGAGGTATTGTTTGTCCTGGGACCTCTTGTTCGGGTAATGTAAAGGCTGGTGGCATTCTGTTTTGCTGACACTGTTCATTGACCCAGTGCTGAAGTTCTTCTAGTGAGAGGCCTCCATGTTCATGTGCTTTCTGTGCCAGTACTGTGGTAGCTGCGCACTTCACTTGGTCGGGTGGTGCTCGCTCTATGATTCCTGCGGTCAGCATTTCATCTATTTTTCCATGGAGAAATTGCAACTGCGGGGGGGTAAGTGCTCTTTGGTGAACTTGTAAATGAAAAGTGATGCCCTCTGGGATGTTCAGGGAGTGTTTAGCACCTGGTACTGGAAGTACCTCTGCAAGCAATCCTGCAAATATATCTGCAAACGATGATGTGAGTTTCTCTGCGCATTCCCGTTCTCCTACCATTAAATCATTGCCATATCGGACTTTCTTGATGATAAAGGCCACTCGATTTGCATTGAATGGGTCCGTGAGTCTGGTAAAAATGGTGTCGTCATTTTCTAAGAAGCCTACCAGTATCACTTTCAACATTTCTTCTATTGATGCCTCGGGCATGTCTCTGTCTTCCATTAGTATGCAGATGGGTATTTCATTCTCTGTTGGCGTAATCGGGTCAGTATTCTCGTCTTCTGTGCTTCCCTGTTGTTTCATTTTTGGCTCTTCGCTCCTTCTCCATCTTCTCCATCTTCAACCTCCTACATGTCCAGCTGCATTGTGGCCGGCTAGATAGTTCGGCTTTGGTTTCGGATTCTTCTTCTCTTGATGCTCTGGTGGGTGTTTATTTCTATCTTCATCTTGATCTTCTGATGCTCCTAGGTTGTGTACTTCCTCTACCACTTCATCGATGGAACCTTTCTTCGCTAGGCTGAGGTTGTGTAATGTGCATGTTCCCCCCGATGCCTGTGATGTCTACTTCATCTGTCTGATAGTTGTGAATGGCTTTGAACGCATGCAGCATTGGTTTCCCAAATAGAAACTTCCATCCACCACCGCTGTCGAACACCTCGAACTCCCCATATGCTTTGATTTCTTTGATTTTGACCTCTCCTCTCCATGTTGCGCGTGAAGGAATGATAGTGCCATTGGCCATTTGTAATTGTTTGCTTGACGGTGTCCAGTTCCCGAGTCAGTGCTTGATTTTTTCAAAGAATGAGGAGCACATTGCGCTGATAATTGCTCCTTCATCGAGTAATGCTGTGACTCGTATGACTTCTCCGTTGGGTCCTGCGTATGCAATGTTTTGTAAGAAGGGTAGGCATGCATTTTGGGACTGTTCCTCATCCGCCGAGTACAGGT